AGATTTGTAGACGTCCAGGAGAGTGCTAAGACATAGGGAAAAGCAGCCGCTTAAGTCAATAGTTTTTTTTTCCGTTTTACATATATGAAGAATTTGATCACAAAACTACTGCGCTTTTGAACCAACAAAAGCAGTAAGTAGTGATAGTATGTTCTCTTCCACAATCGATTTCTATACTATTTGTTTTGAAATTGAAGCTGATCTCAAGTGAGAGTGTATATTTCTTTGCGAAAGTAACTGAAGTAATTAAATTGTTTCTGTTTTCAGAAGTGAAATTGAATATTAAAGAACTGAATCGTAAAGTGTAAGCCGAATTCTCAAGGTAAGATGCTCGGAAGCGAAAGGATGCAGCGCGTGCGACGTAGCGTCTACTTGGATTTTTGCCAACTACCGAAGAGAAAATTTCCCCAGTTTTAAATTTGAATAAGGTAGGATTGGCTTCATTTGTCCAGGTTGTAGAACTTTGGATTTTGCAAGATAGCCAAATTTTCTTCATTTTCTTCTTCTCATAGAGGTTTGGAATCTACAGGTTTAGAAAATCTAACTTATATTCAAATGCGCTGAAAATCCCGTGGGTAGGCCGTTGATATAGGAAAAATTTGATGTCTTACTAATAAACATAAACTCTACTTACTAAACCTTTTTATAGATATCAACCAAAATATCAAACAAACAATGCTCGAGACAGAATTGATGAAACTATTACTGTTTCTTACAAGTTACCATTCACACTTACTCAGATCGCATTCATTAGGATATTGAATGCTTGTGGCAATATCATTTTAATAGTGCTGGTATTTGTATGCTAAAAGAACAAATCATAGTTTACTCCAATGTATCGCTGTGACCAATGCTTACTGCTTCTCTTCATCTCATCTGCGTAATGCAACGTCTTTTCCAGGATGAGGCATGACCGACATCCATAAGCAAATCAACTTATTGGAGTCACGTGATAGCAAGGTTTCTGATGACGCCCGACAAGCACTATCACTTCAAATCAACTTAGGTAATTGCTCATATTCTCTGCTTGAAAAAAAATGAGATATACCTTTAAATGTTGTCACATCAGGTGGAGATCCCAACACGAAACCTTCAGATGTATCCCCTAGTTGAGACCATTTCAAATATTTGTTATAACGATCGTCTGCCGCAAAGACAAAAAATAAGCTGCGCCGGACACGAGAATGTGACGGAATTTAAAATCAAGCCCAAAGGGCAGCAGATTTGAATGCAAGCGTATTGGATACGTAGTCTTTCCTGCACATTTTTCTCCTATGGCGGCGCGAAATACAGAAAAGACAGCAAAGATGTTAATTTCATGTTCTAGGAAGCTTCTACCCTTTTTATCTGTGCTATCGCCAAATTAATCTAACGGTTTATGTAACAGATAAACCCTCTCGATTTATTAACATTTTCAAGCAAAAGAGGGCATCCATTTAGGCAATGGAATCTCTCAGCTCGTTCATTATTATGGCAGAACTCATTCCAATCGAGCTCTTGATCTTCTTTCAAAGATTAGAGAGCCTCACGATAAGGTATAATTCTACGCCTCTTTAATTTGGCGGTGATGCCTTGCTTTTAGACTTTCTTGGATTCGCTCTCAGATACCATCAAAGAAAGAAGGATTATGGCAACATTGGATTTGCTAGGTGCAGTTCTAGAAAACTCTTATGAGAATTCTGGTCGAATTTATCATGTTGCAGGACAAATAGTACAGACTGCACCCAGCTGGACGCCAAAGATTGCTCTTCATCCTGTATTCAAAGCAATTTTACAGCATAGCGTAGTATGTTTCGTTATCTTTAATTTTTTCACAATTATATCTATTTTTTCACGAATCTTTAAAATCTTTACAACCTAGGCAACTAAAGAGTTGGATGAGTGCATTGGTGGACTTCTATTCGTGACTGCCCTTCTGCCACATTGTTCATCGTTGCCATTGGATGTCCTCAATGCAATATTCCACGCGTTTACGGAGGGTTGCCAAACTTATCGAATTAAGGTGCGTAATTTCGCATAGGCCAACACATTTGTTTCAAATTTTTTCTCTCTTTTTGTCTCACAAACTTGAAACGCGCTTCAAACCTTTTGAAATGATGGCCTGCTTTCTTTTCTGCTTCAGTTCGCCTTCTTCAGTGTTTTTTTTTTGTGACAAAGGATGCAAGTCAATTTGCATAATTTCTAAAACTCTAATTTCTAGTCGCTTAGTTGATGAGAAGTGACTCAGCGCTCTTGCTCAAATCATTTATTCAAAACATCAGGGTAGACTTGAGTGGAATAGGAAAGCATCGTCAGATTTGAGTATTGTTTCTAGATAATGCATATTTGATTCATTTCATTCGCAGTGGCTCATGCTGGATAGTAAAAAAACCACTGAAGTTTGGGATAGAGTTGACGTTGGTCATCTTGCTTTTGCTCTTCGCGAATTCTTCCATGCCGTTTATGGAGTCTACCCTACAAATTTCATATCATATCTCAGGTTAATTTTCCATACCGTGTCACTGTATCCTTCTTATACTTAGCATACTGATCTTCGATACCTCATCTTCTTTATATACATTAGTTTCTTATAGGAATTACTTTGTTGATAAAACTGGCGGGACTAAAAGAAGGGACATCGCCACATATGTCATTTGCCCACTCTTAGCTGGCGTACGACTGCATCCCAACCTGATTTTAGTTGGAAAAGATAAAGAACTTTCGAAAGAGAGGTAACTTCATTTTTGATTTGCTCATTATGCAAAAATCGCCACTTGCAATTCTCTTTGTCAGAATTGCTCCTTCTTTGATCTTCAGGGCACAGTTTGTGCGTCATAACACCGTCAATGTTTTTTTGATCAGTCATTATGTTTAGATGGCACCAGCGTGAATCTCACGATTTTCTGGATGACTGCCGTCGTGTGGTCATTGGAAAAATCCCGATCAATGCTGTGTATGGTTAGTTTTTGGGAAATACGAGAAACATAGATGAGTCGAGAGTTCTGAGGCTATTCAAAACATTGACTTCTAATTATTTATTCGATGCTGTATGCATTTTACTGTCAGTGTTCAGATTGTTTCGACATTTGTTCCGAATCAGATTCACCTCCTGCTGCTCCAAACGAAGTGTTTCCGCAGCTTTTCACTTCATATGCTTCATCGACATCGAGTGACTGTACGTTTCCTGTGGGATCATCTGTTTTCAATCTGTGTTTTCAATCATATTCCAGATGCATGGAGGGGTGAAGATTCAGAAAACGACCTTCTAAATGCACTCAATACACCTCCGGGTGGTAGCGCTAGAACTTCCACACAAAAGAGAAGTGTTGCTGAAGAAGAGTGGGCGCCGATAGTGATTACCAGTGACGAGAAAGTTTGCAAATTGCTCATTTATTTTCGATCTTGCTCATTTTGTTCTGATTCTGAGATCTGTGTTCTATTTCCAGCGTCACCGATCCGTGGATGCGCCCAGCCGTTCACTCCGGAATAGCATTGGTTCTTTTTTCAAGAGGGATCACGGTAGTGATAAGTAAGTTTGTTCAGCAATTTCTTTTTATGTCATTTTTGTTTTATTTATTTTTTCAGAGCATCTATAGGGTCCCACGCTGATAGAGTCGTAGAGTATGCACTTAGCACGTCAACAAGTCAAGATGTATGGTCCAAATCACGTTAAGCTTTTTGAAATATTCGCTTTGAATCTTCAGAACGTTCAAGCTGAAGAAGCGGAAGAGGCAGTTGAATGTTTAACACCAGTTTCGAAGCAGTCTCCTGTGAGTAGCTTGATTTTTTGGTGTAATATCCGCATATCATCATGTCTTTGTTTAATTTCGTATTTGGCTTTCACCAGAAAACATTTAGGAACGATTAACTCTTGCTAAGAATCGAGCGGATCCTCAGAACGAGGGTCTACGCATTGCACAAGCGGCCCAAGCTGTAGCGCTTGCTGTTCGCCGCGAACATCACCCTGTAACACAGGATCCAGATGACGCTGTTGTTCGGTCTAGGTTCGTTTAGTGCTCCACATTATGCTTTATGTTTCTTCTTACTTCTGTAATTTATGTGTCAATAGAGTACAAGGTAGGGAAGTTCTCATTTTGTAGGTCTGCCTCGTTTCTGTTTGATAGTCCTCACGCCGAGGACCGCGACAAGTCAAGCATACAAGAGAAAAGCGATGTGGGGACGGAACGCGGAGTGGCCGTTAGTAATGAACCTTATCTAATTATTTTTGTTTTCATTTGATATTGTTTTTTTTTTTTTGCAGAAAGGTGATGCTGAAAATGCGCACAACAGTGGAAACGGTGAAGGTCCACGCAATCGATTTTCTATAGGTTCTTTCTTCACAAAATTGAATAGGTACGGTTATGCTGTATCAGTAGCTTTTTCTCTCTCACGAATGCGGAATTTTGTTTTGTGGACATGTGTTTATCGTTTCTCACTAAGCAAGTTTCCAGTTCTTGCAGTGAATGTATGCTCTTAAAAGCGAACTACTTTGCATTTACAGACAACGTTTTGCAAGTGAATGCCATCCCGTTCTACCATCAACGACTGCTCATCACTCTTATGAACCTGTTAGAACTGTGCCGTAGGTTTTTTTTCTTTGAACTTTCATAGGAGATTTTAAGATCCTTTGTACCTTCCGTTTACAGTTTCAGTAAAAGAACATCATCGTGCCCAGACTTTCTTAGCGAGAAGAGAACTCCTG